TACACACACTTGCAAAATCAGTACCTTAAAAGTCTGTGAAGGTTCTTAGTCATCCAGGTCATCGGACCATAAAACTTTATTACTCACACATGTAGAATAGTGAGGAGAGTATTTTTTTTAATCCCCTCAGATTTAAATAAAGCCAAAGCATATGACTCTTTGTGGTTAATTTTTGAAAATGCAGAAGTGTGTCTTTGCTTTCTTTCTTCTTTTTTCTCTCTCTAGCTTTCAGTGTCAGGATTTGAGGGGTGGCACCAAGTGGTGGCCAATCAGATTTGAAAGATAGCTGGCAGTTCCTAACACTGCCATGAGGCTGCATCATGAAAACATCCCTCCCAACCTCACTACAAACAATAAAGACAGAGTAGTGGGGCAGGGTGCTATACGCAAGTGTTAATGAAAAAGTAAAGCAAAGAAAAAAAAAAGAAAGAAGCATTCACTGTAACAAAAAACAACCCAGTTCTTCTTACCATCCAGCAGCCAGCTGTGACCGCTCAGCTGTTCCAGTCTGGGCAGCATCAATCTGGTCATCACATGGTCAGGCACCAGCATGCTTCTCTCTACATAGGTCTTCACCAGCAAGCCTGCCTCTGATACACAACAGACAGGTGAAAACAGACAACGTGTGTCTGTTTGTGATTCCAGATTCTGAAGTTCTTAAACAAAACAGGACAGGGCTTGTTGTGTCAGTGTGGAGGTTTATTTATTTATTTATTTTCCTGAAACATGGCAGCAAGGTTTTCTTAAGGCACATGTGTTTTTACTTAAGCCCTCCATAGTGAACTAAACCTTATTGTCAGTGTGAGCTTGGCACATGCTGGGAATTAAACTGACTGTGCTTTTGTAGCCACAATGAGGAAGTGCAGAGAGACACATGCACGCAAAAACCAAAGAAAAGAAAAGAAAGAAAGACAGAAAGAAACGGTTTTAGGCTGTTTGGAGAAACTGCTGGAGTTAGTGCTCTGGGTGAATTTGACTGAAATCAGATACAGTTGATAGTAACAATAAATGTCTTGCGCGGTGCAGTTTGGATAGAGGGCTAAAAGTTTACAGTGAAACAACTGTGGACACAAACAAATGCGCAAAACTTCCTCCTGCAACCTTAGCAGGATTGGTATTTTTGCTATTTTTGCATTCGCGGGAGAAGGGGGTCGTGAATTTAAGATATGCAGCGAAGAAAATTAAGAGTTGCATCAACTTTTCCCTCTGCGCGCAGTTTCTTCCTGTTTACACCACAGTATTGTCGTTTGGGTTGCTGTGCATATCCTACCTGTTTTTGCCGCTATGCCCTCTCGTAGAAAATGACCACTGGACAGATACTGCAGGCCAAAACTTTGCGCAATCCTCTGGGATATCGTTCCTTTCCCTGATCCCGGTGGACCCATGATAGCAGCTCGGAATAACTTGGCCATATCTTAAAAGCTACTGTGAAAACAAAAACTCTAAGATGCTCAGATGTCACTTCTGCAGGTTGTGCGTCAGAGACAGAGATAGGCTCACCTTTTAATTAAATTCCTCATCAGTTGCAAGCAAGAGCAATCAAATAGATCTAAGGTTAGGGCGGTTTAAAAAAAAAAAAAAACTCTGCCAATGTAAATTTCAGCCTATCTTTGGAGACTGTGGATCTTTACGCAGACAGAGCCCACTTTCTGCGCACAGTGGGACTATCCTGCTCTCAGACTCGGATCAAGTCGAAACACCCTTTTTTCTTCAGGCTCTCTTATGGATACGTTACGCTACGCCTTCGTCTTTAAGACTAGCGATTTGTCTGCAAATGAATGAGGGAGTCTCCAGAACGCCCTATTTTACTGCGCACATTCATCCAGAAAAAATGCGGATGGGAGAACGTCGCAGGGTAAACTGGTTACTGTAGTTTTCTTTAAATATACAGCCCACAAACATATGTAGACTAATGGGTCACTCTAAGACAGAGAGGGGAAAGTTTACATTAATTTTATTATTATATTTAACAACGGCATAGAAAAGAAATACTGATGTTCTATCCATCCATCTATCTGCCAATCTATCATAGCCACGTGTTAAAATAATAATATTTACCTCACGTAGGCGGTACAAATACATCAAAATAAAATAAAAATTAAAAAAACAAGGAAAAAAGGAAAAAGATTATTTAAAAAATAAAATAATTATTGTCGGTCTTAAAAATAAAAAATAAAAATAAAAAGTGGGTTTATTTGTATTACACAGTTAATTGCTTCGCAGTGGGAAGGTCACTTTAAACCAATGGTGAGAGTTCTGCTTTAAAATCGTGCTCGTTACCCCGCTAATCATTAAAAGTAGTTGGTTATGCTTGGATTTCACCACTTGTTGACAGCATTTTCAGCCGATCGGAGCCTTTACAACGCCGCTTAATTTCTCACGCTTTCGCACTGCTGGCATGAGGCGCAGAAACAAGCAAACGAGACGCCGTCATTCCGCGAAACATTTGCGCACGGGTGGAATCTAGGGAGTACTTGTTGCGAGCCATACGGCGGAGGCAGCGTCCCGGAGCTGTCAAATACTGCGCACAACCTTGAGTCTTCAGTGGAATAACCAGACTAATCCATCAGACCAGCAGCTCAGAAGATTAACCTTTTTTTCCTTCCTTTTAATTTTATTCTATTTTATTATTTTTAATTTTTTACCTTCGGAAAAGTAGTTTTTGTCCGCGAAACCGGAAACCTGATTTTAAAATCACGATCTTTTTTTCTCTCGCTTTTTTTGTCACATGGCTTTGGAGAATTCAATAACAACAAAAAATGGCGACAATCACGTTGCTCTGTGTGGTCTTGCTGCGTCATTAAAAATATTCATGTAAACACGGGGCGTTAAACAGGGGGATTGCAGGTAAGCGAGCTCGTTGTTCGTCACACGTTAAATGCGGGTTGGATGCAATTAAAAAGAAATGATTATATTTAGATTCCACAGCATGCTGATTGTTTTTGCCCAGAAAAGGGGTGTGTGTGCAACGCTGGGCGTTAACGTTTGGCTGCACAATATTCACTGCGAACGTTGCACTTATGTGTAAATATATATATGTGTGTTTTTGCATCAAGTCGCTTTTTCACGTGCATATTTACGCTAGTGAAAACAAGCGTGCATGTTTGCGTGACCTGACGTAAATAATAGTGTTGTTTCTCTTTGGCCAACTTTTAATTTTTTTTTCTTCTTTGAGGGGAGAAAGCAACGACAAGCTTCGACAGTGTTTATTCCTCTTTAGTTCGCTTTACTGTCTTTACTCCTGGCCTCCCTGCTGCCTTCACTGTTAGTGGGTTATAAGCCATTCCTCGACTATTTACATTAAGGGTTTACGCAATATGGACGCGCTTTCATCACAGGGACTGTTTTTATAGTCACTACCAACAGCAGACGTCGCTCCGAGCCTGACACCGCTGCTCTGTGTAGTTGTTACAAATGTTGCTTTGCTGTCCACGTCTGACACGGCCATTTTTTATTTATTTTGTATTTATCTATTTATTTTTGGCTATAGTGCCCCTGTGCAGTGGGGCTAATGGAGTTGTTTACATGAAGTACGGAGGGCGGGCAGACGACGAGGAGGAGGAGCAGCTACGGCCAGCGACGCGACCGGACTGCTCGAGAGGCTTCTCGCGCCGCGCGCGCGGGGGAGGGAGGGGGAAGGGGAGGAACCCGCGAGGAGAATCATAACAAGTCTGACATCACTCGGCCTTGTGCTGGTACGAATAGCCTATGTACAGTAGGCAGTTTGTGTCGAAGAAGTCATGGCGGGAAGGCGGTGAGGGAGTGCAGTGTTGTTGTTTCAAGATGGGAAACGTTAGCTAGCCTTTGTGTGTGGCAAATGGAAACAAAGATGAAAAACCCGAGTGGTTTTGTTTTGTTTTTTTATGTGGAACGAGGACTACGACTAACTAAGCGGATCAAACCGCATGCGCAGTCTTGTGCATGATTAATTGCCCCCGCCCCCTTTTCAAGGCAGGTAAAACCCCTGTGAAAAAAAATCGTCTTTCCTTCTGAAAACCGCTTTTCACAGCTTTCCACAGAGGCACCCGTGACTCTCACTGTGCAGCTCTCATACCTGAGCAAGGAAAAAAGGGTGTAGAAACATTATTAGGATATAGCTTAATGCATAGCAGAGTCTGCCTTTTAAAAGCATCGATAAGTGAGGGGCATTAGTTTGATTGTGCAGGTGGTAAAAAACAAAAAAGCCTGAATAAACTGACACACTACTGTAGCATCATCTGGCTCTCAGATGGATTTCATACAGAAGACGCCTGGATGAGGAGGATCCTGTGACTGTAACTGTCTGCAACTTTACACATGGTCCAGATATTTGTTTCTCTTAAACATATAGGTTGTTTTGTTTGCTTTTCCCCCCTCCCTCTGTCTGACTTTATTATTTTACCAGTTTTCTCATGTTTAGAGAGCTGAAGACCTTTGGTGTAAAGGACACTTTATAAATATCACATGTTGCGTTACATGGTTGTTAGTGTGTAAATGAAAGGTTATTTCAAATGATTCATTTGTAAGCAAAAGAAATTTGCAAAATTTGCTTTGCATGAGGAGAAAACGAGCTGCAAAAAATGCAAATGGAATGTTGTCTTTGCACCTGCTGACCTACAGCAAGGATTTTATTGGTGGATGACAAAGTGGAGTGAAGTCTTGGACTGCTAGATTTGACAGGCTGCCCTGGTTCAGTTATCACAGTGCTGATGCTGTCCCCATCGAAGGTACAGTACTGTGATAACTGAAGGATGGCTGCCAACTTGACACTAGTGCAGTGGTCAAAGTGGCACATTCGGCTAACGAGGCAGAAGAACCAAAGAGAAGGTGGACAAGTGTGGGTATGTAAACGGCATTTGTTGTGATATGCTGAGTAATAAAGTTTGTAAAGGATGTCCAAGTGTCTGTGTGTGTTTTCATTTCCAAAATAACATCCACAGGTTAAATCTAACAGCACATTTGTAACAGTGTTCAGCACTTCAGCAAAAAGCCACAGAGCCAAAATCTGTAGTTTAGGATCGTCCTCGCTGAGTTATTTTCCCCAGCAGTACAATATTTATAATCTATCTCAACTTTTCAAAGGTCAGTAAATATTTCATCTTTATATCTAACAACACAAAAGCAGTTGAGTTCAGATGGATGATTTTGGTTCTTTATAGGTTTTTTATCTCTTGCGTGAGAGCCGACTGAACATTATTATCAAATATTGAAAAGCACGTTAGATAAGAATGCAAGCATCGTTGACCCAAACCAACTTCATTTGTATTTTGTTTAGTTCTTTTATTTGTTAACAATTTGTGGCCCTTGTTCGTCATTGGCAGAATCAGCTCTGTTTTTTCTCATTGTTCTTCTGGGACAAAAGTAAACGTAATCTTTACTTTTGAAGAAAAGAAAAATTTACAAAAATCAGAGGGCAGAACCATCCCAGGCGTGACGCAGTGAATTCCTTAGAAGCAAACAGACGCATTGTACTTACTTAACACACCCAACACAAATGAATCCTGCAGTTTAGCCTTCTTCTGGAATTCATAAGCACAAACTCAGTTTATGGAGGTTCTCCTAACTATGACCATAAAGGTCTAATAAGCATTTAAAACACTGGAAGCATGAATGCCTCATATTCACCACCTTAAATATGAACGAGCTTTGCATTGCTCGATCATTTGAGAGTGATTAAAAATAACTGCTCAAGTAGAAGAAGCTGTATTTGGTCCCGATCTGGAAACGCTGGTGGCAACTAGTTTCACATTGCTGCCAACAGGGGTCGCTACAGATCCATTATTAGTAGTCGTATTACTAGTATTATTATAGCGCTTTGTGGTGTGGTTGAAGCAGAAGCACACAAATGTTTCTGTGTTGTGTAATCCGTTTGTGAACCCTTATAAAGTAAAGAACTGCTGCTGAATTCCTCTGGACTAAAGCCGGGTTCACTTCTAGTGACTCATGGAAGACGTGAAATGACATGAAAGTGTGGGGTTTTGTTGTTGTTTTGTTTTTGCTCAGTCATCCAGTTTTGCTAATAGAGGGCGACTACTCCTTCCTTCCATTATACTGCGTGAATAACAACACAACGGCTTTGAGCGAGCATCCATTTTAGTACGAACTACCGAGTTGTTGTTTTGGTGACTCAGTTTGCGCACAGTTGCGCTGTAATCTGCGATCTATCGATGCCAGTTCGCTCCAAAAAATGAATCGCACTTCTTTTTTTTCAGAACGTACTATTTTGAATAATGCAAGCACTGTTTGAGTCATGTCTGATAAACCGCGGGGTCACTCTGCACCTGTCCTTCGTATGTAAAGGGTACATGCTGCCGCTGAAGCTGCGGAAAGCCCCTGAAGAGTCATGATACTTATTTTGTTTTTCTCTCACGTTAACCTCAATCTGCTAAATCCCGCCTCGAGTCGCGTGTTTTTCTCACTCGGAGCTATACGTGCTGCATTGTGGCAAGGCTGTGTTTTGATAACAAAATACGCAACAACAAAAAAACCAAAACAAAAAAAACATTTAAAGTCGCTTTCGAGACGAGGACAGCGTCTTCCCATGACCCTCCACCATGAGGGAATTTCTCCTCATACTTCCTTTAATGTGTGGCAGTAATTGCGCTTGCTTGGATGTGCCGAGGGAATTCCCTCCCCTTCATATGAGCCACATACTTTAAAAAAGACGTCTTTCAGGAGCTTTCCTTTCTCCCTTTGTTGTTGCAGGAAGAAATGCTTTTCTTCTTCTTCTTTC